TAACATCTCTGATCACGCCTTCCTTCGGATGGGAAGTAAAGCCGTTGGTCCCCGGTTCATGAGTTGATGGGTCGATAGGTAGGGTCCAGGTGTGGGAGCTACCTTCCTGGCACGTCGGTAGCATTGGTGCTCAGCACGGAAAACAAGATCGACGGAAAAAACAAACCAAAGGAAAAAAAAAAAAAAACTTTTGAAAAATTTAATTAAAAAAAATCGGAATACGTATTTCCAACCCAAATTTCATTACTAATCAGAATTTTTGTTCGATGTATGTTCCAGGATCACATGGAAAGGAGTATTTTCCCACGCCGTTTTCCGACTCCCGCGCGAGGACGCCCGCGCGACCTGGTGCACTGGCCACGGGGAGACGCCAATCGAGTTCAAAAAAATACAAATTGTAGTTCGAAGGATGACTAATAAATGGGTTATAACATATTTGCCCTCCCTGAGTGTTTTATTGCTTAAAAAATTAACGAAAATGCCTTACTTTTTGGACGTTCAAAGTGTACTACCCTCTAAGTAAGAGCTTTTTGAGAAAACCGCTTTTTTCTTGAAATACCTCAATATCTTGAAATGCAATGAAGTAAACTTTTTGAAATTTTGCTCATTTTTAGTAATGATAAAGATCATTAATATTTCACTAATTTTTTCTAAAATTCCTCCACTAGGTAAAAAGTTGAAAATCGAGTTTTTGACTTAAATAATTTTAACTTCATACAGGTTCTTCAAATTAAGTCCACAAATATAGCGAAAAATCAATAAATATCTGTTTAACCACCAGCCAAAATTAAAAAAAAAATATTTCTATTAACAATGTCTCAAAAAAAAAATCCATAAGGGTGTACGCTTAATTTAGCGATACACTGTAAATGTGGAAAAACTCAGACGTCCACCTCTTAGTTTGCCTTTTTGTCCACCTATAATATTCATAAGTACTTTCGTAAATCCAGATCCTATCCTTGATTAACCCTCAACTGTTCAATCCAATGCCAATTGGTGAGAATTTTCCTAAAGTTTTCAAAACTTCCCGAAAGTTCCCAAAATCTTCCAGATGTTCATGGATCGCACATAATGATCCCGTAATATTCCTGAAATTCTCGGAACTTCCCTGAACTTCACAAAGCTTCTGTAAAGATTTTTAAGCTTTTGTTAATTTACAAATGCCCTGAAGTTCTATGGACTTTCCAAAAATTCTCTGAGCAGAACTTTTTAAACTTTTTGATTTTCTTGATTTGTTTTCCGTCGATCTTGTTTTTCTGAGCACCAATGCTACCGACACCTGGTAAGCAGCTCTCACACCAGGGACCCTACCTATCGACCCATCATTTCATGAACCGGGGATCAATGGCTTTACTGCTCACAGATTTTATGAAATTCTATTAGAAATTTATTTCTATTTAAATTTTATTTTTTTCTTTAAATTTTAAAATTTCTATTTAAATTTTATTAGAAATTCCCGGAAGCGCTGACTGGGATTGAATCCAGGCCATTTGGGGAGAACTTCTCCGTTGCCGCGATTTTCCTAATGTTCATGATTTTTTTCCTGACGCTCCTGTTATTTTTCATGAATTATCAGAGCTTCTCAGTAGTTCCCGTAATTTTACTGTAATTCTCGTAACATCTTTGAAGTTCGCTATACTGCTGTGATGTTCCCTAATCATTTTTGAAGCTTTCTTGACTTATTTGGAGTTCTTTAGGCTTTCTTGAAATTATCAGCACTTCTATAAGGTTAATTCTCCTGAAATTCTCGGAGCTTCTCCGAACATCACGTAGCTTCTGTAATGATTTTGAGGCTTTTGTAAATTTGAATTTCCCTGAAGTTCTTTCAACTTCCCTGATGTTCTCTGCACTTCCCAGAAATTCTTTAACTTTCAGAAATTCCTTGAACTTCCCTGAATTCCACAGAGCTTTATAAAAGATCCCACAATTTTTCTGAGGTTAATTAAACTGTCCTTGAATTTTAATGGCTAAATTTCCCTTAAAATCTCCAAACTTCTGCGGATTGTAATGATGTTTCATAAATATACAAGATATTCTCAGAACTTCTCCTAGGTTGGCCCGAGTTTCCTAATATTCATGATTTTTTCTGACACTCCCGCGATTTTTCTGGAATTCTCGGAGGTTCTCTGTAGTTCCCGTAATTTTACTGGAATTATCAGAACTTGTTTGAAGTTCACTGGACTTCTGTGAAGTTCCCTAATATTTAATGAAGTGTTCTTAATTTATTTGACAATCTTTGGACTTCCCTGAAATTATCAAAACTTCACTATGGTTAATTTTACTGTAATTCTCGGAACATTCCATATCGTCACGCTGCTTCTGTAAAGATTTTTAGGCTTTTGTTAATTAGTATCGATCTGTCGATGCTCTTTGGATTTCTCTAAAGTTCTCTGCACTTCCCAGAAATTCTCTGGACTTCCCTGAACCCCATAGAATTTCTCAACAGTATCCACAGTTTTCCGGAGGTTAATTGAACTATCTTGAAGTTCCTTGATCTTCCCTGAAGTATGCTAACATAAATTCTCTTAAAATCTGCAATCTTCTTTGGATTTTCCTTAAGTTTCCATAATTCACTACATGCTATCAGAACTTCTCCAATAACTCGAAACTTCTGTGTATTTGGAGTTCTTTGAAATCCCTTAAAATTATCAGGACTTCACTAAGACTATTTTACCTGAAATTCTCGGAACTTCCCAGAACTTCACGTAGCTTCTGTAAAGATTTTAAAGCTTTTGTGAATGTTAAACGACTATTAGATGCTTTTTTGAATTTCCATGACATTTATTCAACTTCCCCGAAGTTCTCTGGATTTCCCAGAAATTATTTGGTCTTTTGGAAATTTGCTGGACTTTCCTGAGTTCCAAAGAACTTCTTAAAGGTACCCACATATTTCCTTGGGTTAAAAGAACTGTCTTGAAGTTCCTTGATCTTCCCTGAAGTATGTTCACAGAATTTCCCTTGAAATCTCCAAACTTCTTCGGATTTTTCTGAATATTCCAAAAATTTACAAGATGTTCTCTAATATTCATGAATATTTTCTGTCGTGCCCGTTATTTTTCGGGATTCAGAATTTGGAATTCTCGGAATTCCTTTGAAGTTCGCTGGTCTTCTGCAAAGATATCTAACATTTTTTAAGTTTCCTTAACTTACCTTATATTATCATGGCTTCTCTAAGGTTTCTTGTAGTTTTTATCCAAACAGGTTTCAAGATTGTCACTGAAGTTCTAAAAAATTCATTGAAATTCGTAGAACTACCCTGAATTTATAGGACCTGATTCAAGATATTTGAACTTCCTAAAAAAATAGATCTACAAAAAAATCGGAGCTTCCCTAAAGTTATTGTAGCTACACTAAAGATCTGAACCACTCTTCATTCTTCAAAATCTCGGAACTTCCCTTAATTTCTCTAAACTTGCCTAATGTCCCGGGAATCATCCTGGAATTTTATTAAAATTTGATTAAATCTTACAATTTTCGGGAATTTCTATAGCTCTTCGGATTTTTTTTTTGCAAGTTTCTGCATCCTGATGAATGTAGGCGTTTTATTGGACTACCTGTATAAAGAGAGAGAGAGAGAGAATGATTAGTAATTTTCATTTAATACCAAAACCTTATTTACTTATCCTTGACAGATAAGCGTAGTTCGTCTACAATGTGCAGGCTTCTTCAGTGTCTTGTACTGAAACTCGACTATCAGTACAAGACACTGAACAAGTCTGCACATTGAAGACAAAATACGCGTATCTGTCAAAGATTAGCAAATCAGGTAGTGAAATTAAATGGAAATTACTAAAGTTTCTGCATTTTTTTGAAATCACTGAAACTGCTATAAAATTATCTGATCTTCCCCAAAGTACTCTATTCTTTTCTAAGTAAGTAAGTAAGTAAAGGGTACAATACCTTAATTCATTGAACCTTCCTAGGAGTTGCCTGAACTACCCTCGGAACTTTTTGACATGTTCTCTGATCTTTGATGAAAACTTGCATTTTCTGCTTAAGTGTTCAAAATTTCTCTGAAGTTTACGGAACCTTTCTCAATATGTCCCCATATTCTCTTGATGTTCCGCTAATTTCCTGATGCCCTCTGCACTGTTTTTTTTCCTTGATTTGTTTTCCATCGATCTTGTTTTCCGTTCTGAGTACCAATGCTACCGACGCCAGAGAGGCAGCTCCCACACCTGGACCCTACCTATCGACCCATCGTCCCCGGTTTTACTTCCCTTACGATGGAAGACGTGATCAGAGATTTTACGCCTCAGAAAATCCTGATGGCGCCGACTAGGATTGAACCCAGGCCCTTTGGAGTGAGAGGCAATCACTCTTACCAATACACCAGCGCTACTGCCCTCGACATTTTGCCGAAGTTTTCGAAAATTTGTTGAGGTTCTCGTAGCTACTTTATATTTGTTTATGTTCAACTTCTATGAGCGCACAGTAATCTAGATGGGCGTCCAAAAATTCTGTTATGCATGTTGGTGCAGCCTGGATTAGAGTAGCGCATGTTGATCCAAATGACTGCACCTAAAAATCATTCTGCGTAGCTGGTTACTCATGGAGTAACCATGAGTAAGCACCATGACAGGTCTGGAACCAACTATGCGGAATACAGTGAAGGGTCTAACTTTGGATTTGTAACTTCAGATAGAGAGAACTGAAATCATTTTTACTGTTGCACAATCATGTCATCATACCAACATTAAACCTCCTAGAGACAATCTGATCCAAATTTCACCATCCGAGCTCAATATAAAAACCCTCAATCCATCCTTTATTAGCAGTTCTTAAACTTATTCCCTTTATATCGCACAAATTTAATGAAAATTTTACGAAAGTTATACGGTTCCTTTTTGCCAGCCATGGAAAATGGGAACGGATGAGTTCTTGTCTCCCGCCATCCTTCCGTCTTCGACCCGTCATCGAATCGTTCGAATCATCTCCATTCCCACTGAAACTTATCCACTCCTACGACAGGCGAACGAAACGCCTGCAGGCGAGTGATGTTTTTCTACTGCCGATGATGAGCTGCGGTGGTAAGTTTCTTCAACGAGTAAAACTTTTTCTGGTCAATTAAGACTAGTTCTGCTGCCCGGCGTCTACGTATTTGCATCTGACGGATAAAATTACAAGATGGTTGAATGAGGAGAAAAATCCAGAGAGTAGGAAAATTGAAGATATTTCATTTAAAATTAGTTTGTCGTATGCAATTTTGAAGAGGACTCACTTTGATTGGCTTTGCTCCGTCACTCGCATATCGGCTCGGAAGAGATATCGATCCACAAGTTGATCGACCTTGGCGAGAACCTCTGGGCGGATGCTTCGCTGTTTGGATAGTACCCAGGCAGCTTCGGCCGACTTATTCTCGGAGAGATTTTTGCACGAGTAGATGATGGCATAGTTGTCGTAGTCCGTATCCATGATCCAATAATTGGAATTTTTGGGAGCTTGAACGAAATCAGGTTGATTGTAAGTACCAAAATGAGTTTTTTTTTTCAGAGCTGGGCATACTTACGGCCTCCGAAAGTAACATTCAGTTTGCCTTCCAGGGGAATGGAGTCCGGAAAACTAACGACCGCTTTCCCGATGGAGCAGCTTATGTTAGTATTAGGCAGACGTTCGCAGCAGTTCTCTACCTTTAGGGTATTTTTTTTCTTGAGAGTGTAGGTAGCGTAGCCACAGTCGCAGTCTTTCTCGAAGTACTGATCGTAGCGTAGGATTTCGTACCATTTTCCATTGATGTACTGTGTTCCGGGAATAAAATGCATCAGTTGTAGAATTCAGTTAGTTTCTATATTGGTACTTTGTTTGTTCAATATCCATCAATATTTTCATGCCAATATTATCAACAATATTTTTGGGTGGGGGTCATCAATACGCTCCCCACTAGCATTGCTGTATCCAATGAAATATTCAGAGTCAAATTACCATTAATAATATTGACAATACTTTTGAGTATTAACAATATTTTGGATCGTGTGATGGCTGCTTTGAGAATAACTTAATTGTAATGATGTGTTTAATCTAACCTCCGGCATCGAGCTCTACCCGATTTGAAATTTATCAGTTGTTATAGCAAATATCTCTCGTCGCTCTTTAGAGACAAATAACAAAAGATTTATTTTTTTTTTTTTAATAATTCGTTTATTTTTCCAGGCTCATTACAACAAAAGATTTAGTAGCAAGTCAATTAATTTTTTTTTGTTGCATTTGTTGATCGATGTTGTTTTATGTAGTCTTGGTATAATAGTGTTCTGTTTTCATTTTCTAAAGCTGCAGTATTGTATTGTATTGTATTGTATTGTATTGAAATTGTCGATAGTCTGGTTATTCGATAGCAACTATTTGTTTATTTATTTATATCGTCCATCAGTCTAGACAACATATTAGAGCACCCGCACCAATGCGTTGCTATTCGGGCTGCTAGTTTGACAACTTTAGCCATTGCTATTTTAGTTAGCAACTTGTTTACGCACCGGTCGTTGCTATCACGATTGTGAATTTACGTTTCGGCTTTCGCACCGATAGTTGCTAAACTCATCGTCAAACTTCGAACTGAAATTGATCACAGAGTTTCGTGATTGTTTTTTTTTTTCGGCAATATTGATATACATAACCACAAAGACTGAAGATTGAAGGTTAAGATCCAACTACAGACCCAGGTACTCAAGATAGGTCCTCCGGAAGATCTGAATAGCCCAGCGATTCTTTAATCACTTTTTGTGATGCTACATGAATGAATTTGAATCTGGGGCAAACATGCGCACACTGGTGGTCAAGAAAGTGTTCTCTGGGAGATTCGGAATATCCATAAAAGCGGTCAATTCGTAAAATGATCGATATATGGATCTTCGTATGCTCATCTTATAAAAGTTGCACACCAAAAGGCATAAAGGCTAGGGGAAATTGATGTAATGTCGGCCTAAGTGTCCTTAATTTGGGCCCATACATAAATTCAGAAATCGACTAAATTTTCAATTGCCACAAAAAATAACCATTAGTACCGTGCCAATGACGCGTTCATCTAGATAAAATTGATAAATAGCAGATTTTTACCGATGGGCCCAATCTTAGATCCATAGGCCAACATTAGAGCCATTTCCGCTAGATTACATATTTTAGCTTGTGAATTTATCAAAAAGTGTTGAAACCTTTAAGAAGTTATGATTGATAGAAATGTGGGGAAGTTAAAAGATCTTTAAGTAAAACAATCTAATAGCTTTCAGGAAAATTTACTTCAGCGAACATCAAGAGCTTCAGGGCAATTCCTTTATATTCAGGAACATTTAAACTTAAAGACCTATGAGTATGTGACGTGAACTTCGGGTAAGTTCTGAAATAATTAGAGCAGTTCCATGAATATCAGGAAAACTGTGAGAACCTGACGGACGTTCCTAAAACTTTAGGTTCGTTTCGAGAACTTTATGTCAATTCAATTTATTTCAGTAAAATAAAGGAAACTATCAACAAGTTCCAAAAATTTAAGGATAATAAAAAAAAAATCAGAAAATGAACTTAAAAACATTAATAAAGCTACTCAGAAGATCCATGTTTAAAGGGAAGTTTAAAAATCTTCTGGGCAGTTCCATTGATTGCAGAACAATTCCAGGAACATCATCAGGAGAACATAAGGAAATTTCCGTAAACTTCAGGAAACAATAGAGATCTTCCGGAGCGTCTGAGAATTTCAGGAAGTTTTACAGGCAAACTGTGGGAACAAAAGGTAAGTTCCGAAAACTTTTTGAAATTTTGGTGAACTTTAGGCAAACTTTAGGATTTTCACAGTGGTTCCAAAAACATCTGAAAACTGCAGGAATAGTTAGACAATTTGATAAATTCAGGGATATCCAGAGAACTTTAAAGACGTCAAAATAATTTCAGAGATGTGGAGATAACTTGAGGAAAATTGACATTTTAAAAAACTTGCAAGTACTTCAAACAAGTTAGACTAGAGAGCTTTAGGGAATTTCAGAGATATTAACGGCACTTTCAATAACTTCATAACTTCATGAAATTCAAGAAATTCCAGACTTTCAGGGAAGTTCGAATGTTTGTATGGGTAAGGTCCGATAAATTCCGGTCAACTTCATCAACTTCAGAAAAACTTCGAGAATTTTTTTACAGTTCTATTTAGTTCAGGGTAATATCAAGAACTTCAATAGAATTGAGAGCACTACAGGAATGTGTCAAGAGCAGAAGGACTGATCAGATGGACTAAGAACAGTCAGCCCAGGCTGAAGTCTCCTTAATAAAGATATTATAAAAAAAAAAACTAAGAAGAGTTCAACTAATTTCAAGGAAATTGAAGAATTTTCAAGAAACTCAGGGAATTTCCGAATCTTCATCAAAGTACCAAGACCTTTACTTAAATTTCAGAAACATAAGAGATGTTACATGAGCATCAGGAAAATGTGAGATCATTTTAAGGGAGTTCCATGGTTTTCAGTGCAGTTTGAAGAACTGCAAAAAATGCAGGAACTTTAGCAACGATCAGATTATGTTCAAGAAAATCGCAAGATCTTTTAAAATGTTCAGAAGTCTTCAAGAACGTCTAGAGACCTTCAGAGAAGTATATAGATTTTTTGGTTACTTACCTTACCAATTAGGCTAAGGCCTTGTTGTCCTCTGCTGTCCGAAGAAGTCGTCTCCACTCTTCTCGATCCATGGCCACAGTTCGCCAGCCTCGTAGTCTGCGAAGGGTCCGCAGGTCACCTTCTACTTGGTCGATCCTCCTTGCCCGTTGCGCGCCTCTTCTTCTTGTTCCTGTTGGGTCGCTTTCTAGAACCATTTTCACTGGGTCGTCGTGCGGCATTCTTACGACGTGCCCAGCCCACCGTAGTCGCCCAATTTTTGCAATGTGGACGATGGATGGTTCTCCCAGCAGCTGGTTCAATTCGTGGTTCATTCGCCTCCTCCACGTTCCGTCATCCATCTGCACTCCACCGTAGATGGTACGCAGCACCTTCCGTTCGAAAACACCAAGGGCGCGTTGGTCCTCCACGAGCATAGTCCAGGTCTCGTGGCCGTAGAGGACCACCGGTCTATTCAGCGTCTTGTAGACAGTCAACTTCGTGCGGCGGCGAATTTTATTCGACCGGATCGTCCTCCGGAGTCCAAAGTAGGCACGATTCCCTGCCATAATGCGTCTTTGAATTTCTCTGTTGGTATCATTTTCGGCGGTCACCAGTGAGCCCAAATACATGAACTCATCGACCACCTCGATTTCCTCCCCGTCAATCTGAACTCGGGGTGGGAGGCTAACATTGTCTTCCCTAGAACCTCTTCCTTTCATGTATTTTGTCTTCGATGCGTTGATGGCAAGTCCAATCCGCCTAGCTTCAGCCTTTAGTCTGATGTACGTTTCCGCCATCATCTCAAAGTTCCGTGCCATAATGTCAATGTCATCGGAGAATCCAAGGAGCTGCATGGACTTCCTGAATATCGAGCCACTCGTGTCTATCCCAGCTCTTCTGATCACACCTTCTAACGCGATGTTGAACAGCAGACACGAAAGTCCATCACCTTGCCGTAACCCCCTTCGAGATTCAAAGGGACTCGAGAGTGTCCCCGATACTCGAATAACGCACATCACTCGATCCATCGTCGCCTTGACCAATCGCGTCAGTTTGTCCTGGGCAACTCCGGCGTCCCGTAGTTGCTCAATGTTGGGTCGCGGCGTTCGACTTCGACGTGTGTTATGCACCGTTGAGAGTTTTGAGCGCATGCATACTGCAACTAGGTAGTGGTCCGAATCTATGTTCGCACTGCGGTACGTGCGGACGTTGATAATGTCGGAGAAGAATTTCCCGTCGATTAGAACGTGATCGATTTGGTATTCTGTGTGTTGGTCAGGTGATCTCCAGGTGGCTTTGTGGATATCCTTGCGGGGGGAAAAGGTACTTCGAACTACCATACCCCGAGAGGCTGCAAAGTTCACGCATCGTTGGCCGTTGTCGTTCGATACGGCATGCAGGCTGTTTGGCCCGATTGCCGGTCTATACATTGCCTCCCGTCCTATCTGAGCGTTCATGTCGCCCATGACGATTTTGACGTCCCGTTGCGAACAGCCGTCGTACACCTGCTCCAGGTGCGCATAGATCGTCGGGTCTCCCTTCGTGTGGGCAGTGCACGTTGATGATACTGTAGTTGAAGAAACGGCCCTTAATCCTCAACTTGCACATCCTCGCGTTGATCAGCTGCCAACCAATCACGCGTTGGCGCATCTTACCCAGCACTAAAAAGCCGGTTCCCAGCTCGTTGGTGGTGCCACAGCTCTGGTAGAAAGTAGCCGCTCGATGCCCGCTTTTCCATACCTTTTGTCCCGTCCAGCAAAGTTCCTGCAGTGCTTCGACTTCGAAGTTGCGTGGTTGAAGTTCGTCATAGATTAACCTATCGCAACCCGGGAAGCCGAGCGATTTACAGTTCCATGTTCCGAGTTTCCAATCGTAGTCCTTATTTCGTCGCGTAGGTCTGTGCCGATTGTTCCGATCCGTATTTCTTTCTTCAGTATTTGCAATTTTGTTTTTTTTTCCAGGGCGGCTTGTTGGGCCTGCCCCAACCCCCTGTCTCGCTGGGGGACCATCGTGCACAGCTCTGTTTAGAGTCCCACGCTGGCACTAGGACGGTGATCAGCCGCTCCTAACACGGAGAACAGACGCCGTTTCGAGCCGCACCTCCATGATGAACAGACGCTCAGGTTTGGTGAAGCATTTCCTCTATCACCGTACTATGGTTACCGCGCCAG